CTGATTTTTGGTATTTAAAATTTAAGCTGCAGTTTCTACATTGTTTCCACATTAGAGATTTTTAATGCCACAACCATATGACACTTAAAAAGCCTATTAACAAAATGCAGCTAGCTAACATAGTGCCCACATTAGTGCCAAATCGTATAATGAAGAGTTGGATCAATTGCTGCCATTGAAGCAGAATAACAAAAGCTGTAGGCATACTTCAGAGCTCATATAAACGCATTCCTAAAATGTTATGCGTGTATTTTTATGCACTCGTATGCATATATACAACCTTCGATACATACATATAGAGATGAAAATGCGGTGAAGGAATGAAAAGGAATGGCTCGTATAGATACTCAACTATAGAGACTTCCTGTTGCAGAGCGCTGTGCACGCTTAAAACGCATCATCAAATTCCATTGAGTAGTGGTGGTGCAGCAGATACACGCATGTACAAATAAACATAAATATTTTTAAAGCAAACATAGTACAGCAATTGCTGTTGCAACTGCAACTGCAACTGCAACAGCAACAGCAACAGTAGCAGCGAGAGCAAGTGCAACTGCAAGAGTGCAATTGCAACTGTTCATCAATAGCAACGGCAACGACAACGACAACGGCAACGGCAACATGTCGAGCATTTGTACGAGTACTAGTGCTTGAATTGTAATAATTTACGTTGTTTTATTTGCTTAATGCACAATACTTAATACAAATAATTTGGGTCATTGTGTTGCTCGAATCACTTACTCACATGCATGCACATAAATGCAACCATGGATGGCCACGCATTTGTAGTAATGCACTTGCATTGTGTTTGTAATTGAAAACGTAATCGAAGCATGATAAACTCGAATGATGCAGTTGTACAGCATTTGCATTTTATTAAGATAAAATTTAAAAAAAAAACACAAAACAGAAAACAAAAAATAGAAGTTTTTTTAAAAAAATCCAATTTCGAATTCTCAATTGGTTAGGTTTGCGTTCTGTGTTGGTTTCGTTCTATTTGAATTTTTAAGCACTTTTAAGCGAACGCCATTGATTGCATTCAATTGTTACCTCAAACTGTAACAATGCCAAAATTGGTTGGCTTGCTTAACCTTAAGCATAAAATCCATCTATAACTTTTTTTACGCTATGCATAAAACTGTTTCTGATCATTTCATTTTTATATTCTTCTATATATCTTCTAGTGTATAGTCTACATCAAGAGTATAGTCCATGAAAACACTATCAATGTTTAATAAAAATATCTCATTTATTCAATTTTGCTTATTAAGACCGCTAATGAGGATAACTCACCAAACAAGAACTTTCATATAAATGAGCTCATTATAAATAAATCAATTCATTTAAGGCAAAAAATGTCGAATGTCTTGAAATGTCTTGAAATGCCTTAAAAATAAATTTCCCACAAAATAAATTACCAAAATTTGATGAAAATTACATTAAAAGTGAATCTAGATAAAAAAAAAATACCCCAGATTTACTAATCGAAACCGTCATAAATATCAATATGCTAAATTGATTAGATACTTATTATTTTTAAATTATTTATGCGTATGATTTGAAAAATCATTTACTAATTAAAAGTAAGTACCACAATAATACTATATACCTTCTGCTCATCCGGATTTTGTTGTTTGTTAACTTCTCCTTAAGTAATAGACCTTTTTCAAAAATTTTTTTTTTGTTATGTTGGTACACCCTTACTTGACATATGGTACAAATTTCAGTGCCATCTGTCAATTAGATTTTTACTATGGAAAATTCTTGTTGTACGCGATTTTTTGACCAAACATCCAAACACGACACCACTGTCATCGCTCAGGCACCACATTCGTCAGGTCTGGATCCGTGCGACTTTTTCCTGTTCCCGAAACTCAAATTGAATCGGTAAAAGAGAATTCGTTGAAGGAACTAAAAGCCATACATTCACGGACCTACGAAAAGTGTATGGAAGATTGAGTTAAGCATTGGCATATGTATATCGCTTCAGAAGGAGCATATTTTGAAGAAGATAAAATAAATTTGGAATAAAATTTAATTTTGTGTGTTTTATTTACAAAATCCGAATACTTTTTGAGCAGAAGGTAATTACTATAATCACTGTTTATAATACCCTGGAGGCCATTAAGAGAAGTACTTATCTCCACTTTCTTTAACTTGCTAATAACTGAAAGAAAGTACTTATATCATATGGAACTTCCAGATTAAAAAATTAGATCCTCGGAATTCTCCAAAAGAGGCCACGTCAACACTGCAAGTCTAACTGCAGTTCTTTCTAGTAATTGATGTATAGGAGTTTAGGAATAGGAGAAACTGCGCATTCCTTATAATACTCACTGTAGAAGTTGAGAAAACCCGCAGGAAAAAGAAACCGCAATACATTTTGTCTGTGAATGTCCGGCTTTGGCGTTTGAAAAGAAAAAGGTTTTTAGGAAGATACTTCGTTAACAGTTCATTAGTTTGATTAAGACGGCAGACCTATTAAGTTATCTGAATTAGAAGGAGTGGATTTAGTCTCTATTGTTATGTACTAGTGGTTCTTGCGAAGAATGTGGTAGCAAAACGGCAAAACTCGCTAATTGAGGTGCATTGAAGTTATCTAAGGCTCCGCCAGTGCAACCAACCAACTATAATCACTACATTTATTCAGAAAATGAAAATATATAAGTTTATATGAATATTTGCCAATATATATATATAAATATAGTATATGTATATAAACATATATAAAAAAAGGTTTGTGAAATTTCTTTTTAAAAAATGAGTTTCGCAAACCATGACTGCGAGGTTGAAGTGCTGCTTACTTCCATGTGTCATAAATCTGAAGTATTTATTGCAAATCCAATTAAAAACACACAAACATACCTTTTCCCTTTACGTCACTAAAAATTTAACTTATCCAATTAGGAACTTGCAAATTTGTGAATTTGCTCACGTCAGAAAGTTTTACACTTCCCGGGATATGTGCGAATTCGTAGATGCAAAAGGCAAATACAAACGAGAGGAGGAATTTTCTTCATCAATGCAAACTTGTTTAACTATTATTTGTGTTCCAATGCAAAAGGATATAATCAGATAAAGTAGTTTATATGAGAAAAACGTGTTAAAGTTTTTTCAAACATTTTTTTTTGTTTTGTTAAGCTTAAATTTATTTTTATAATATTTGGTATATATATTATTACGAATAGAAGGTTTTTCTTTTGTGAATATATTTGTTATACAATGAATGAAACATTTCAAAGTAAATAAACCATAAATCGCAAAACCGACCTGGGCATATAGGTACGAGAACCTGCTTTTCTAGCACATTCAACGTTCCGAAAACACAGCGGGGTCAAGATTATGTCAGAAATTGTGACCGATATTGTCATTAAGACACCCTTGTCTATAAACAGTTTCAACAGTATAGTATCTATATTACTTCAGATTAATTCAAAATGATTAATTTTTTTAAATTATTTAAAAATATTTTTCGTCTTTTATTTGAGAGCAGCTGTCTCTATTTAATATAAAGGAATATTGATTTATAAAACAGTGAGACAAAGCAATTTAACTCCGAGTATAATCTCTTAAGTTAGTATTTAAAATCGATCTGATAATTTTTAAGTAAATGGTATGAAACGTTGCATTTAGACTAATTATAAGTCAAGCCAGATCAACTCTAAAAGTGTGGCCATTGCGTGACTAAACACATCGTCGATAAACCTAATTACTTGCCATTAAGGCTTAACACCACCATGCTCGTGACACACTTATCAGCATAATGCGATAATAAACGTTCCCATTAAAATACCAATATACTCCGCCGGTACCAATTAAAAGTATAAGTTCGGATAAAGCTTCCTACTCGGGAGAGAGGGAGGCTATCTTGCATTTCTGCTGTTCGCTGGGCACAGCAGTCAGTTGGAAAGTATCGAATGAAAGTAGGGAATACAATAATTCTACCTTCATAACTTTGTGTCTTTACTACAACCAACGTTATACATCCTTTAAAAGAGCGAACCTCAATTGATCAGAACAGTCAAAGCTGAAGGCTCTCACACTCGTGGTACCTTATTTACACTCCCGATCGGATGCTGGAAGTGAAACTCACTTAATAACATTTGTACTCCAAACAGTATCGTATATTTCCTATAATCATGCCTTACCTTGGGAATATTCTAACCCCTTCCCCGCGGAGGTAGCATATTCGATGCACTGTTGATGTTATAAATCAAATCATTGATTTTAACGAGGTATCTCAACCCAAGTAGACATGCTAATAAAAGCATTTACTTTTAGCGACAGACAAACACTGTGTTGTAGACCGGTTGTAAACTGTGGACGTTTCAACAAGACTCGGCACCGTGTCATAAAGCACCGTCTCGTTTGAAACAAGAATGGTTAAAAAATCATATTCCACATCTCATGTCGTCCACAAAATTGCTTTCAAATTCGCCAGACGCAAGTCAAATGGACTAATCCATCTGGGTCATTTTGGAGAGATACGTGAGGACTAAGAAATATGCCAGTATGGATGCGCTGAAGAAAGCCAGTGTTCAGGAATGGAACAAAGATGCCGGAAAATCATATACGCAAAATATGCAATCCTTTTTTTAACCGTTTGAAAGTCATATTCAAGACGAAAGGTGGCCGCATTGCGCTAGAGTAAATAGTTTTCGAAATTTTAATTATATCCACAAATTTTTGTGATATGATCTATAAAAAATAATTTCACACACCAAAAATATGGTCGCTCGAATAGGTACCACTTCCAGGGTATAACATTGTAGTGTAAACACACTTTTAGAATAAGTAAAGTAAAAGGGAAAAGTTTTTCTTGTATATATAACTTTATTTTGCATATATTAGGACCAAAAATGAAATGATTCTAACGGATAAGCTAACGGATCGATTTTAATATACTTTAAATAATGATAAGGTGTGCTTTGATTTTTTTTAAATTAAATGGTTCACTTTTAAAAATTTGAAAATTTATTCTATTGTATACAAAGCTATATTAGCTTTATTAGTTTTTGATTTATTAGCTGTTATTATTTATTTATTTATCATTATGGATGGGAGAGATTTTAATTGGAAGTTTTTGTATGAACGTTTTGGTGATCTTAACGATTACAAGACAATTGTGCACACTGCAGACAAGAGATATATGAGACGTAACTATATGGTAAGGAAAGTACGTACTACCTTACGTATCGCTTGATTATTTTATTTCAATAGCTTCAGGCCACATTGACTTTTATGGTAAGTGAATTAATGGATGCAAAACCCGATGATGGCATTCGGTTCATAATAAATTTGTTTCATGATCGTAAAAAATTGCGATATTCTATGAAGAAGGTAAATAAACAAACAATAAATATATTCTTAGTTATATGTATACATTTATATATGTATCTATATATATCAAATAATACATGTATATTGAAATATACGTTTAGGTATATGCCATTTTTAAAGACCTCCTTAAAGAAGGCCAAGGTGTTATGTCTGATGAAACTGAACGTGATTTATATTCCGCCGTTTTTCTTGGTTATGACGAATTTTTGGATCAAGAGATTAATTGTTCAAATTCGAATTTAACTGACGAAATAGAAGAAGAAGAAGAGGAAGAAGAAGAAATACAATAACTAACTGAAAATGCGGAGGATGCAAAAACCGAACTGATTATCTTGAAGTAGACAACCAATAAAACAATTTTTTTTCAATGTAATTAATATCGAAATAGTTTCCTATGTACTAAATTTTTGGTAACGAAATTTTTATTAATAACAGCGTAATCGTAATTTTTAATAAATATATACTTTTGGTAAAGTTTAAAATTTGTTTTTAATATATCAACAACTTTCTAACATAGTTCGAATAATATGTTTTAGATGACAAACTTAAAACTACCTAACCATATCTTCAAGTTTATCAAATATAATCTTTACTTTTAATAATAGTGAAGATATACTTTTGGTCGTGTGAATGCGTAGTAGAAAGATTTATAATTCGGTTTCTTTTTAGCATTTTTGATGTCTGGAACAAGCATTATTACTCTTAGATAAATTAAAATCTGATTATTAAACTGTGCTCAACTAGCAAGTGATTATAACTTATATCAAATCTTGGCTATAAACTTAACTGTTGTTACTTTTAATACTGAATGGATTTACAAGCAATACTTAAAATTCTTACCTTTCGTATTCCTTCACGCCTTCAGCAATGCAGTGGAAGAAATCATCAAACCCAACTCCAGTTATCGAAGAAATTGCATATCTTCTGAGGGTTTCATAAAATGTATCTACCGTCCGCGAAATTAAGTTTGATGAATCAGTTATGGTCACATGCTCTGACGCTTCATCAAATGCTTCAAAATCAATCATCCAAATCAAAGGAGGGGAATGATCTAGCTCATACTAAAATAAATACTTAATCATTGCAAACCTTATTTAATGTCACAATAAATGGTAGCTGACGAGAAAAAGTTTGATTTTCATTTAATTTACAAAATAAATTTGATTTAATTTTAATTTCCAGGGAATATATTATACGTGTAGACATGAGTTAACACATCCCACGTACACATTGGAGGTGAATATATGTTACCTATATTCACATTGGAGGTGAATATAGTTAATAATATAGATAATATTAATACAAAAAGTAATGATAATACAATGGATAATAATATAGTTATTACACATTTACTATATATATGAATGTATAATAAAAAAACTTTTAATGTTCAATAAAACGATACGAGTAAGATAAATACTCAGTATAAATATATATTATGTACTACCACTGGAGAGACAAACTGATCTGGAGACCAATTGGTAATAAGTCAGTTAACTAATGGCTCAGTTAGACGGTAGATAACGTAAGAAATTATTTCAAAGTGAAATACGCAAGTTTGGTGGGTAGTGCATTTCGCTTTGAATTAATATGTTACGTTACCTACCGTCTAACTGAGCCTTAACTTTATCGGAGAAGCAAATCAGGTGATACAAAATATGTGTATGAACAAAATTTAATATTTGTGTTAATAACAACTAAGTTAACTAAATTAATATTTCAAGAAAATAATGACGAAGGAAACTATTTTATTCATCGAAAGGTGTTTCATCAGAGGTTTATTGGAAATATCTCTTATATTCAATTATTCTTGCTTACTAAGATTTGACTGACTAAGAAATGACTTACCATTCTATTAATATCAAAAATGTGGCTTCATCACTTCGGTGGTGAATTTCTAGAGTTTGTTTACTATTCTTTTATGTCATTGAAACGATTACTTGTCAAACATTCAAAGGCATGTGAGAATGAGATGCATATACTTTTTTAGCAGTCGTCCCTCTTAATTGTGGTGAAGGTGGATTTCTGGCGTCCGCGCCAGTTTTGATTGTTGTTCGCTGCTGTTAAAGTGTAAAAGTTTTTTGTGATTCCCTGTGTAACTTTCTCAATCTATGGAAAACATTGACAACAAAATGAAAAATAAAAGAAAATATAGTCCTAGAACTGAGTATGTAGAAGTCAATTCTCTAAAATTAATTCGGTTAGTACGCAGCAATGAAATACTTTTTAAAACGGACAATAGCTTGTGCTGCAATAAGTCTTATAGAGAAGAAGTATGGGAAGGTGTTTATGCTGCAATGTTTCCAGAATATTATTCAATGGATGAAAAAATGAAGGAGTTGATGGGTGAGTGACTTTAATGATTGTTGCTTAATATATTTAACCTATCGTAGCGTAGCCAAAAATGTGGACTATGTTTCACTACTATTAATCAAGTAAACAATGTTTGTCAAGTATTATTATTTCACTAGGGCGTGTATTCTAGTTATACATGACTGAATTATTATAAATACAATAGCAGCATTAACTAATAGTTGTTCTTGTCTGAAATAATTGTGGCAATCAGAAGGCTTTACTATGATGAACCAAGTTAACCAAATATACCCAATATAAGAGTAGATGCAGATGAATGAACATTTTTAAAGGAATTTTGGTATCAAATAAAATGCTCTTACATTTGGAATATAATGGTGTGTTATAACGTTTGAATCCTTTGCTATTGCCTTTAAGGATGTACATCATTTTTCATTCTTACTAAAATAATACAAATTATATATAACATATTGCAAAAAACCTTGAAATTATTATTATATTGAAAATGATGATTTTTGTCCCAGGATTAAGTGTACGACGTCGTTGGAAAAGCTTGCGGGATTCAATAGCATGTGAAGTTAAAAAGAGCGCAACCGTTGAAAATTATGTTCGTAAGAAGAAGAGTCCAATTATTGCCGAATTGGAGTTCCTTATACCACACATTAAAAGTTCGCATTGCGTTAGGTAACTATTTCGAACATCAACTAATTTATTTTTAATTTTTCTCTCTATTAGATTTGCTGAACAGCTTGGTTTAAGTAATAATATCAATAATTCCGGCGAAACTGAAGTCCACGAAGTTGATGAGTCGACTACTTCAACTAAAGGTCAAGACATTGAGACACCTGTTCTGCAAATGAATGAATCAGATGGTCTTCTTAAGGAAAAAGCTATTAAAGACCTACACCAATTTCACAATGCGGTCAGTTCAAATATAAATGCGATAATTTCTCAACCAATGGTGTGTACTAATCTTGCTTCGTTAAACCAAAGTGACGTAAACGGTTGGAATAATCAATTTTATGCTATATCGATGTATAAAGGAGATGAGTTTATTAATTTTGGTGTACAATGTCTTAATTCCATTAATGAAGAAGAAAACAATAACGATAAAGCTACAGTACAACAGAATAAACGTCTTCACTTGGAAAACGAGGAATCCACTGACCTACCCATTTCATAAAAAATATATATTAAAAGCTACTTAATCAATATTAGTCTTATAATCAGTGCTCAATGTGTTATGCCAGAAATGAGCATGGCTTTTGTAATTATTTATATATAATGACTGTTTTTTAATACTGTACATTTGAGTCTTTATAAGTACTATTTATTTATCTTATAATACCATACATGTCAGTCTTAATAAATTCAAAATATATTGTCATTTCTACAAAATTTAGTTGATCAGGCCTACAAATTATACCATTTCGTAGATTGAAAAGTGACCTATAGCGAGTAGTCAACACATTTTCTAAAATTTTTAATTAATAGAAATAAAATATTTAAATAGAAAATGCAAAATTAATATACCTAATTTATTAAATTCATTATTTTAGATTACATTGTGTGAAGTAAAGTAAAAAGTAAAAAAAAGTAAATGCGATAAAAACTTCTACTTTATTTATACAGAATTTATATGAATACTCTAAATATATAGAATAGAAGTATATGTATTAAAATGTTTTCTAATAGTAAATCATTGGCTCATACATATAATTTATGTAAAACTTAAGTTTGACAATAGACTTGGAGACTTAAAATATATCTTGTTTCTATTATTGTATATATTTTGTAATTTTTATAAAGTAATTAATCAAACTTTTATTTTATAAAATTAAATTCACAAGTTGAAATTAGAAGTTGTTTTGTTTATTCTTCTCGATTCAATCCATTTACTTACTTAGTTTAGTAATAAATTATTTGGCGTAATATTTTAAATTTTGGAAATACTTTCAATAGTTAAACTGCGGCATCAAAATTTTACTTTTTAGGGCTTTAAACAAAGAAATAGTTTTCTTGGTAAGTTCAGTTTGCGTAGAATGGTAGTGTTTCATGACAGAATATGATGCATTAAATCGATGAATGGGTTTAACACTCGTACACACTTCATCGTTACCGTCTTATATACAATCCAGTATTGGACATCAAAATATATGTCCTCAATTATTTTCTTATTTTTCGCCTACTGTCAATTTTTGCTTCGAAGCGTATTCTGACCAGTTTTTGTTGCTCTTGTCCTAAAATGCTTCGAGCATTAATACCTAAAATTTCCGTAGTTCTTACTTAAGACATCAACTAAAATGTTAATAATTGAAAAAGTAAATTAGATGGTATTAACAAAAATTATTCAAATCAAATTTGTGCACAGTCAAAAACCTAAAATGAAAAATGTGAAGAAATTCCTTTGTGGCATTATAATAACATATTTTCCAAAGGCATGAAATATTTTGTTTCATTATTCATTATACATATTTATATATGAGTTATATGATCACCGAACAATGACATCGAAATCATGAGATCATTTCTAAAAAAAAAAAAGGAGAACTGATGTAACTGAATATAATGATAATCTAACTATATCTAATCCATCTAAAAAAGTTCGTATAACTAGCCTTTAAATAAATACTATAATTTATTCTCATTTTGGAGTTAAATATATGGAGGTACTCAATGAAATATATATATAATCAATGTTCAGTAAAATTTCTTATAGTCGCAGTGCTGTTTTGAATCGCCAGGTAACGTTCTGTCCTTTATTCCAACTCAGCACTAGCAAACATTGTTTCTAAAATAAATTTTGGCTATATAATATACAAATAATATTGTATTCAAAAGTTGAAGAGGGTTGTTTATTTCTTATTTATTTTTAAATCAAAATAATATATTTTATAATACACACATATCATCCAGAAAAACCTCTATTATGGGATTGATTATAAACAATTAGTTGCAAATTAATTTTTAATTTTGAAATATTATTAGAAGTGTTCAGAAGCATAGAACAGCGAAATTGAACTTTTTAGAATTTCGACACCTGCATCAAATCTAAGGTATTGTAGATAATCGAAGGTCTTATCTAAAGTTCAGATATTTGAGGTTATAAATTATTTTATGTGCAAAGTATATACATTTCATCTTCCCCAAAAAGAAAATAAAAACGAAATACTACTTTTCAAACTCTCAAACAAATCAAGCCAATATGTTTTGTCCTACACAGTTTAAAAGCCATCGAAGTGTATCTCTTAGCTTATTTATAAATATCGTACATTGATTAAGGTGCACTGCGATCAACAGATACAGATAATATATAATTCTTATGGAAAACTGCTTATAAGTATTCTTATCATTTATCACTACTTCTTTCTGTCTTTGTTTTACTTTAATATTCATTCCAATACCTCATCGATAAAAAAAAGTGGCTTTCCGAAACTAATGATAATTTTTTTACAACGTCAAAGATTTATTTCGAGAAACCACTGACCCAAACCACATTTGACCTATTCTGGTCTAAAGTCACTTACCTGTTTCCAGACTTTACCCTCTAAACTATTTATGCTATCTGTTAGATTTTACTTTACGATTTCATTTCACTGATATTTTTTCTTACCTTAAAATGGGTATAGAGTTTAAATAGCAAGAATTAAATCGAGCGATAATTGCAGGAATTTTACTTGTAAGAATAAATAAACGAGTACGGTGGGAAGAGTTTGTTTAATCCAACTCATTTACAACACTAAAAAATAGAAAAGTTCTAAACAAACTTCTTAGACGTAAAACAAACGTTTTGGATTTCTGCAATCATTTGGTCACAATATATACTTACTTGAATTCCGACATACCAAAGTAAACTGTCTGCAAGTACTTTCTTGTTTGATCTTTACCATATCTAATACTTTTATCTAAAGTTGGTTATTTGATCAATGATAAAGTCGCAAATATGATTAATAAACTGATTTCTCTCCAATAAATCAAGTCAACTGTTGGTTTTAAATGTTTATTAAGTTATTAAATTTAGTTTCAAACAACCCATGTTTAAACTGTATTTATGTGTATTATAATAATATCTAATTCCTAGTCATAACTTCAAAACCATTAATCGGCTGTATCTGTTTCAGTATCTCCTTCTTCCTCGTCCGAGATATTATCATCATTATTTTGAACTGCTTCAATGATATCAGCAAGAAATAAGGCCGCTATATGTGCTATGTCTTCGGGAGGAGCTGGTTCAATTATTATTTCTTCGTCTTTATTCGGTATTTTTCTCTTAAATAAAAGAAAATATATTGTGATTATATATATTATGCACTATTATGTTATATTCATTTCTTTATATAAGAAAATATGATATTTTAATAAATATATTAATAAAATTTATTACAAGCTTACATTTTTGACTTTAAGACCCATATTTTTTATTGTTACAAAAACTAATCAAATATCGCTTGCTCCCGCTTTCTGACAAGTCTAGAGTATAGGCAAAAACAGTACGTCAAAAGCTATATGGCGAAATATTATGACATTTGGCGAAAGAACAGCTTCGCTTTGTACGGCGAAAAAAAAAACTGTGACGGCGTAGCTTAATTATATATATTTCTGAACAGACATGGTTCGTATGAGGTTATTTATTTAAGCGTATATATGCTCTAAAAAAATGAATTTAATTCTTGCATTTTTGAAAATATTTCAATATTACTGGGAAGCTAACTTTTTAACCTTAGGTTGTGGGAAACAATGACGGATATGTTTGATGAGCACCGAAACCATTGATGACCACTTTCAAATAAGAATTATATCTTTAACAAAATTTGATGAAATAGACTAAAACTAAACAAAGAATGATGCAGTATAAACCGATCAATTCTTTAATACCTTAACTTTAGAAGAACAAGAGACTAGTTTGTATTCATATTAGGATGAGTATTTGATGGTTTGCTGAAATACTTATACATTTATTAAAGTCAATATTAAAATTCTTGATGCCAACTATTTGAATGGTAAGTGACAAACTTTTGTTAAGTTGTTTTAAGATAAATAACAATTAAAATGAATCAATTAAAATTTATGATGAAATTGTAAAAAATAAAAGTACAATCTCGAACTAAATTACGTGCATACGGAAGCAATAAGTAATTGGACAAAGTTTCTGAAAGAAATTAGGTAAAGACACGTTCCTAATTTTATCAAATCAGGTTAGTAGTACATAATCGATTTTGTCTAAATTCACTTACTGTAATGGTAGAGCTTCGGTCAGATCCTTGCTATAACACCAAATAAACCTTGGATACTTTTTCCTAATAGAACTCTATTTTCTTTTTCAAAAACGCATACATTGCATTTTCAATAAAATTTTCCAATGGAAAAGTATCCAAGGTCTATTCATTATAATGTCAGGTTCTATGTTATATTCCTCTAATATTTGGTGATGTGGTAGCAAAACTCAAAAAATTCCAAAAACCACTGATGTGTGTAATATCTAATATGTTTTTGATTTTCACTTACTTACGTATCCTGTCTTTTCATGTATACTTTTTATATACAATATGCTAAATATTAAATAAATTGAATTAAATAAACGGATAAGTACCTCTAAAATTCTTCCTCTTTTTTTTAAGTTTTTTAGTTTTTTTATTAGTTTTTTTATTATAAATGCGTAATTTTTTATTCATATTTACATACACTACAAGCGGAAGAAATGTTATTCGCACCATATGTTTCGCACTCAGTGAATTCGCTGCTATGGCAAATTAGAATTATGTATAGGTATGTGGCTATCTTAATAGGAAGCAGTGTAAACACTTCAGTATTACAAACGAATTCGCCGCGTCAAAAAATATTTCACACCATACACGCTGGTATACCTTAATACCTTAATATGATATGTTATTTGCTTTTTCTATGTAACAGATTATGTTTCGCCGCAAACATTTCGCCGTGTGATCAAAACTGTTTGGTGCCTGTTCGCTATTCTTTGTTTTTAATCCCAATGCTTATCAGCAAATATATTATACAAACCGTTATATGACAAATGAATACAACAATTTACGCTCTTGTACCTAAATTCATAAGGTAATATTTTGCTATATACATATATATATTTGTTCCTAAATAACGCCAAAACTGATATTTATCACTATATTGTTTTGACCAACCCGAGGAGATACAAAAAGCCACGCCACCGCTACCGAATTAAAATCAAATCTCTCTCTTTTTTACAATTTCAATTTCTTAATATAATTTGAAAGAGACAACTA